GCGCGCGCGTGCGGGCGCGTGCACACACACACACACACACACACACACACACACACACATGCATGGACACCCAAGGACACCATTAGAAAAAACGAACAAACCATGGTTGTGTGTGCAAGTGTGCAAACATGCACACACGCTCAAACGGGCAAACAAATATCACCCCTAACCCCAGCACGCTGTATTGCAGCAGCAGTGTACCACATGGCTGCAAAGACATCCCAACAATGGTCGAGGCACTGCAGCAGGCCATCCCTCATGGTGCCTACACAGTTGCATTGTTAAGGGAACTGGCAGTTTTGAAGGTACCACCAGTAGATGAACTGGCAATTTTGAAGGTACCGCCAGGAGACGAACTGGCAATTTTGAAGGTACCACCAGTAGACGAACAACGGGGGCTGTTGCAGAAAGGAGCACTGAAAATTGTTCAAGTGTCTGATCCACAAAGCAGCATGGCTCCTTGTCACCCTATGTTCAAATTTCTTCCTTTTTGCCTTGTGGCCATTCTCCACGTCTTTTGCCCCAGAGGTCACTGTTGGAGAGGAGGGCTCCGAAGAAGGCGAAACAGATCTTCAGGGAAACAACACAGGATCTCCTGTCGTTCGGGAGGTCTGTTAAAATTGGAATGATACAGAGAAAGAAGATTAGCATGGCCCCTGCTGTGCAAAGATGACACGCATAAATCAAGAAATGGTCCATTTTTTATTATTTTTTATTTTAGGGAAAAAAAAGGATCTCCTCCTCCTGCAGGGTTTTCGGCACAAACACCCTTGGGGCATGACTTCACTTCAATCACCAGCCAGCTGAGAGAAATATATTCAGAATTCTGCCTTTGCCTTAACCCCATTGCCTTTCTCCATCTCCTTTGCCTCAGAAATACCTGCTGGGGGAGGGGGCTGCAAAGAAGGCAAGAGCTTTGAGACAAGCACCTTCTGCGGTATGATGTCAGAGAGGAAATCAAGACGATGGTCGCCAGCCACAGCGTGTGCAACGTCGTTGTATTGTAAACTGTATCTAGTGTCTTCGAGCATTCTTTCATAAGCGCGCTCGACAAAGGATTCTAAAAATAGCTCTGTTGCCTTCGTAATCAGAATGTTCGCCTCTGCAGTCACTAGCTGTACACCGCCTTCACTCTTAATCAGCCGCTTCACTCTTGAGAGAGGGAGCGATGACACTGCCGACATCGACTGAGAGTGCAACGATGTTCCTCCAATCGCATACGCTCTGCTCAATCCCACACACCCTGCTGTGTCCGTATCTTCTTCTGCCATCCCTTTGCCAGCACATGAAGACGCTTCTTTCTCCATGTCACCTTCTTCTGTTGATCTAACAACATCAATTTGCCTCTCCTCCTCTCCTCCTGCTCCTCCTTTCCACGCCTTCTTCTCCTGCTCCTCCTCTTCCTCCTTGTCTCCTCCTCCTCCTTGTCTCCTCCTCTGCTCCCTCTCCTGCTTAAATATGAGAAAAGAACTCCAATGGGCTCCTCTTCTACCTAAACAAGGTCGACCGCAACAACAGATCAGGAAAGAGATCATCCGCAATCGACTGAATACACTGATAAGACTAGGACAAACACAGGAAACCAATGCTACACATGCGCATATATGCGTGCGTGGAGGGGGATGCAAGAGGGGAGAGAGAGAGAGAGAGAGAGAGAGAGAGAGAGAGAGAGAGAGAGAGAGAGAGAGAGAGAGAGAGAGAGAGAGAGAGAGAGAGAGTAGGAGATCAGCAGGTTGTAAAGACGTTTGAGAAACAGGTTGGAGGCTCCTAGCGTAGCGCAGGTAGCTTGTTATGGTGATGGTGTTTGCAAAACCATCACCATTTGTAAGTCTGCATAGGAGCGTCTACTGATCATCAGATGGAGTGCTCGCTGAAGATGCTCCATGGGCAGCAGTTAGTCAAACTCACAACTCACAGCTCACATCTGGGAAGGGAATACCCCACCGCTTCGTGCCACCTGCAAGGAATATGAGCCAAGCAGAGAGCGATAGACAGAAAACAAAGTTGCAAAATCAGGAAGTAGTCCAGATAGTCATGTACCAAGCAGAGAACACAAATGCACCAATAAACCATCCAAATAAGAGCAATACAATGAACTCGAGTGCCAATGCCGACGCTCTCTGGTCACACCAACACTGTATCCAATGTCGCTCCTACTGTCTGGCGCCCAGCGCCCAGCCTACACTACTCAGCCAATCTTTCCTATCTCCGTTCATGCGACTGGAACACATCGAAGTCGAAGACCAATGTGCATGACGTCAACACCAATGCCGACCACCAGCATACACCAGGTACGTTCTCTCTCCTCCCCTCATCACCCCTTGGTTCTCCTCTGCATGCGCCTCCTACCCGAAGACCACCATCGCCATCACCTGCCTGCGCCCCTGCAGCCCGGCTATTGCTGCTGTGCGCCCACAGCCTCAGCAGCACCCCTCACCTCAGCGCTCGTGCGCGCGTCCGACCAGCAGCGCACATGCAGACACTAGCGCAGCAACACAGCAGCGTGTTCGCATTGCCTGCCAAGGTCAGAATGAGGCTGCCTGGGCGAGGCACTTTCGTTTACGGAAAGTGTGGCCCTGTGTCTGGCTACGTGGGCCTGGCCTGGGAAGTTTCCAGTAGCTTCCATCGGGCCCCAATGTCTACGCCCAGGCCCAACTCTGCTGTTACGGGCCTGGGCCCTTTTCAGTTGGGCACTTCCAGGCTCCAACTGTTGGCCGCATTCTCACTGGCTCGTGGAGGTTGCGTGACGACAATGCTGCTTTCTCATTCGACTGCGGCCACTGTGTGTGTGCCCAGGGCGCAACCAACCGGGCCGTGGGCTCAACTGTGCAGCGTAGCTCTTGCTTCTGGAGGGAGCCAGCAAAGGCTCACGTTGCTTTGTAACCAACTTGCGTGCTGCAACTGTCTGATTCCCCACATATGGAAAAATGTCGTAGGAAGGCCTCAAGTGGATATTCAGGCCCGCCTTCACTTAGGGCGGGCTCAATGCCTGCTGGGGGGGGGGCACAGCCCAGAACACTTGCATGAGTAAAAGCCCCGTGAGGGCTCGATCCTCGCACGCCTGTCACACCAGATCAGCCCTAGCACAACATACAGAGCCAACAAATCACTTAGCCGCTCGCCATGTTATTACCCACAGCTCACAGCTCACATCTGGGAAGGTAATACCCCACGGCTTCGTGCCACCTATCACACCAGATCAGCCCTAGTACAACATACATAGCCAACAAATCACTTCGCCGCTCGCCATGTTATTACCCTCGGCCTTTGTTCACCTATTAACACCCCCCCTTCTTTTTTTTTTTTTTTTTTTTTTTTTTTTTTTTTTTTTTTTTTTTTTTTTTTTTTTTTTTTTTTACGGTCCGATGGACCACAGATCAGATATTAAACTGATCAGAACAGATACTACACTTGATCTTAGCCAAAAGGCCGAGAAAGGTATACCCCCCCTTTGTTAACATAAGAGGAAAGCTAGGAAACCCACCCTTCGAGTTCCACTGTTGTCACTGCTATGACCTATGACCGTCAGTGGTAAGCCACCCTCCTAAACCCCTAAAAGACAAAAGAAAAAGGGAAAAGCAAGCCAAGCCAGACCTCATTTCTGATATGACCGTGCTCAGATGCCAGGCAGAGGCTCTTTTTTCTTTTTTCCCCACATAAAGTCAATCCAGCGTCAACCTGATCGCCGAGACTATCAGTGTAGTTTCATTCTCGACTGATCACAGGACACAGCACCAACTGGGCTTTGAACCTTCGCCGGGCTCATTGCACAATCTCTCATTTGGTATGTCTTCCTGCCCGCATCTGACCGCAATTGCGGCAAGATTCAGTCCAAAAAAAGTGGTAGTGAGACTACCACCAATGTGCGCGTTCTGTTCCAAAGAACACGAACCTTTTTACTGTACGGTTTTCTGTAGTCTGTCTTTTAGTCGTAAGCAAAAGTTGTTAGCCATCGCTTCTTCTGGCATTGCACAAAGAAAAAAAAAAAGAAAAACGTTTTTTTTGTCGTTATGCCCTTGAGAATTCCGTACTATCTCAAAAAAAAATAAAAATAAAAAGAAAAGAAAGCAAAGTCCTTACTATCTTGTCTTCTTCCCCAAGGAATCCACATTGTTATCTTCCTGCCCGCATCTGACCGCAATTGCAGCAAGATTCAGTTCAAAAAGTGGTAGTGAGAGTATGGTCACCGCCATTTTTACAAGGTAGCTGCCCTATCTGGTCTTTTACCATTCTGTCCCTGCTCCGCAAGCTTTCCCTCAATCTCAGATTCTTTCTTGCTATTCTCTCTCTCTCTGTTCAGTCTTCCCGCTCCATGGATATCCACCAATAAGGACAAGGAGTCAAGAAAACTTGAAAAAAAAAAAAAAAACTAACTTAAAAAATAATAACAATAATAATAATAATAATAATAATAAAACCTGGTCACAGTCCACATACCCCACACTACAACGTCAGAACGTCTGTTAAGCATCAGCCTCATAATGTGCACTCGAATGAGACCATCAACCGTGCAAAGAATCTGTCTACAGTCCACGCTATACCGGTCACAACCTCAGTTAAGCATCTCCCTTCAGAATCACCGATCGTTAAGAATCTCCGACTCTCCGTTAAGCATCTGCGTTAAGAATTCCGTTAAGAATCTCCGTTCAGAATCTCCGTTCAGAATCTCAGTTACCTGAGATCCACCATAGCGATTGTTAGCAGGGAAGTGTGCACTGTGCTCAGGCGAATTAGCGGTCATCGCCTGTGCTAAGAGAATCTGACCACAGTTACTGTGCAGTTAAACTGAAATTTACCGCCGCAGCTGAGTGAATGACTGGGAATCGCCGGACCACAGTTAAGAGAGAGCACACTACTTACTGTGTGTGTGTGGCACTCGTCAGATCAATGAGCAATCTGATCGAAGGACGGGCGTAGAGGCGGAAGAGCAAGTTATGGTGGACTTTTCGCAAGCCCACGGCTTTTGGCACTATAGACACCCACAAACACGTTTTTCGTCTATCAACTACGACTAGACGAAAAACGTTGCAGCTTTGCTTGCAAGGAAAAACAGGAGGCAATGCCTACTACCAATGAACTTCTTTCCTCTTGTATTGCGGTAGTCAGTTCGCCTGGTATATTACGTATGTGCGGTTCCGTTATATTAGGTTTGGTTGAACGCTATTCTTCCTGTGTTCTGTCCAATGACCCGCACGGTTGCAGTAGTCTGAGAACTCTGCACTATTCTATCCTGACGAAAGGCTGACCTGATGATGATCTGTTGCAAAAAATTCCAATTCACAGTCTGTTTGCTCTGTTTTCTTTTCGAAGTATGTATGTGATCGGCCACTGTTGTATGGATGCCGTGCTTGCCTGCTCTCTCTCTCTCTCTCTCTCTCTCTCTCTCTCTCTCTCTCTCTCTCTCTCTCTCTCTCTCTACGAAGCAGGATTTGCAGCAGGAGGTGAATCTGGCGGACAACGACGAAAACATGAAAACTCTTGTGGTTTTCTTCTCGCCTCAGTGTAAGTGTGATGGGGTCTTTCCTGTACTCTCCCCAGGCTGAGGAATATTGGCATCCAAGGCAGAAGGACGTCGTGGAGGAGAAGGATCAGACTGAAAGGGGGGGAAAAAAAATAATAATAATGGAAAAGTAGGAACGAAAACACCCTTGTAGTCTTCCTAACCCGTGTGAAAGTGTGATGATGGTCTTTCCCGCGCTGTCCACGAGGCTGAAGCGATATTGGCATCCGAGGCAGAAGAACGAAGAGGAGGAGAAGGATGAATATGTGGAGGAGATGAAATGGAGAAGGATGACATAGAGAAAAAGGACATGAAGGAGGCGGCGAAAGATGAGGAGGAGGGACTCTGGCATATTCATCTTCCTAGCCCCCTCTACCGCTAGTCATCATCATCATCTTCATCATCATCATCATCCTCATCATCATCATCATCCTCATCCTCATCATCATCATCATCTAATCTCTCCTCGCCTTCCTCTCTGTCCACCCATTTCATCTTCGAATAATCATCGTTTCTCTACTTCTTTCATCTCCCGTGTTCTCCTGGAGGTAGGAGGATCCACCGCTTCCACACGGAACCGGACATATGCAGAGACCGCTGACGTGGACGAGGACGAGACGATGAGGGTGAAGCGAAATAAAAGAGAAAACCCGAATTAGTACAAGGAAGCGAAATGAAGCCACCATAGCCCCCTACGCCTTTTCCCATCCCGCTTCTTCCCGCCGTCAGCAACGCCATACTTCTACCCCTCCTCCTCCTCCTCCTCAGCTCACCCGCTGATAAAAAACCAGACTAGTTCTCTCTCTCTCTCTCTCTCTCTC